GCGACAAGCCGCTCATCGTGGTCACTGTGGAGGGCGAGGACACGCAGGGCTCCCACAGACAATTGCAAGCCCAAACGAAGAGAGCACCATGCTGACATTGTTCTGCCTGCCGTAATGCCATGCTTCGCAGGAGAAGAAGTTCCATCCGGAAGAGATTTCGTCGATGGTGCTCCTTAAGATGAAGGAGACGGCAGAGGCCTACCTTGGTTCCAAGATCAACGACGCGGTCGTGACGGTGCCCTCTCGCGATTAGGGGAGGAGCATATGCCATATGCACATGCCATACCGCACGAAGGAGTTTTGTGTTAATAGGGGGTGTCACTTTGCCCTAGACCTGACTCGGTAGGGATCAAGACATCTCTTTTTTTGTGTGAAAACTCACTGCTTTGGCCATTCTGCGGCTCAACCGGGTGTCCTGTCAAGGTGCCCGCGTACTTCAACGACTCGCAGCGTCAGGCCACCAAGGATGCAGGCACAAGGGCCGAGCGTCATCAGAATGCCATGGACTATCCTTGCCTATCGTAGCAAGACTAAAGGCAGCAATGGGGTGTTGGAGTGGCTTGCCCAAACCCATGCGTACGAAAGCTCGCGCAAGGGCGGCACGAGGGCGGGCGCAAGGAAACCCAAACCCTGTCGGCATCGAGCAGATTTTTCAGCATTCATCAGTTGTGCTTGTACGTAGTCCAGTAGTACCGGCGCAAGGTTTCCGAAAAGTATTAGTGTACCTGATTTCATCTTCCCAGAACTGCCTTCGCGGTGTTGATGAACCCCTGTTAGTTGTCAAGGGGCATGCAGAAACTTTGCAACTGAAGCGCGGCCTGAAGCAGGGACCATCTCCGGCATGAACGTGCTGCGCATCATCAACGAGCCGACCGCTGCGGCCATCGCAAACCTGCGGCAGGTTAGTCTTGCTTTCACATGGGTAAAGTTCTGCGTCCTCGACCTCCAGAATTGCTTGCCACAGCATGCACAGTGCACTTGAATATGGATGGTGGTAGAGAATGTCCTGTTGCCCTGAGCCGTGAACATTCTGAGAGCTCAGGCATATGGCCTCGACAAGCAGCTTGGATTTCAATGCAAACATGTCAACCGTAATTAAGCACCATGTGTTTTTTCAGCAGTATGCTGTTTTGGTCTTTGCGCAATTGCATCTCATGCATCCTTTTGAACTTCTATCGACTTAGTTGGAAAGCCCAAGCCATTGACCGAGGAAGGGCTCTGGAGAGCGCAACGTACTCATCTATGACGCTTGGGACTAGATGGTAGTTTCCCAAAATAA